TAGTTGTCTTATTCTTCGCACGAACTCCGAAGTTAGTTCAGTTTTCATCTGTTTATGGTCAATTTTCCGCGCCTGTTTTACTCCGAGATATTTGTAAATATCATTTTCACCCATTGCCTCGATGTTTTGGCCATCTTGCATATCGAAACCTCCGGGCTGAACCTTTCCTCTGACTATATTAAGTATACGGCACTTGTCTAGTCCAAAGTGCATACTGATATCATTTGAGAAAGTTTCTACAGTTTTTAGCATCTGATCTAAGTGATTTCGAGTGGAAGCCATTAGTTTCAAATCATCCATATACAACAGATGATTAAGCTTCGCCACAACAGTGTTGTTATTTTTTATGCTAAATCCTGAGTCAGTGGAGTTCAGCAGCTGAGATAGTGGGTTCATCGCTAGGCAGAACCAAAGTGGACTCAACGAGTCCCCCTGGAAAAGGCCCCGGTTAATAGCGATATCTTCAGTTTCGATATTGGTTTCACCAGGTATTTGAAGGTGAATTTTAGTCTTCCACTTTGTCATTATATGCTTCAAAAAGGTCACGAGATTATCATCGACTTTATATATTTTCAATATATCTATAAGCCATTCATGCGGCACTGAGTCAAAAGCTTTCTTGTAGTCAATGAAGGCAGTAAACAGGTTTCGTTTTTTGGTGTATGCCTGGTTAGAAATGACTGAGTCGATAATAAGTTGTTCTTTGCATCCCATGGAGCCCTTAGCGCATCCTTTCTGTTGGGGCTCTATGATATTGTTCAGAGCACAGTGTTGGTAGATACGCCGGGCCACACAGGATGTGACCAATTTGTACAAAGTTGGAAGACAAGTAATTGGGCGGTACTTGGCTGGATCTTGGGTGTTATTTTGATCCTTCGGTATTAGATAAGTGGTTCCCTGAGTAAGAAATGATGGTATTTCCTGCAAATTAGAAATAATATTATTAATAAATACTGTTAAAAGTTCATGAACACTCCAAAACTTCTTTAACCAGAAGTTTTGAACTCCGTCTGGTCCAGGAGATTTCCAGTTATGAAGCTCTTTGATGATGTTCAAGACTTCTTCAGTGGTAAAAGGTTCATAAGGAATATTCCTGTAGTGTTGACAATTGTTCTCCGTGTCTTCAATCCATCCAGCATTGTTGTTATGGGTAGCTGGCGTCGAAATTTGATTTCCCCAAAACTCATGAATTTCTTCTTGGCTTGGGTAGGATTTATTTAAATTTTCTACAGTGGAATTTAGTTTTCTATAGAAAGCCTTCTCTGAATTCTCAAAAAGTATATTGTCGCATTTACGGTTGTTACTAACTTTGTATCTCCTTAAGCGACCTGAATAAACGGAGAGTTTTTGTTTTAATGTGTCTAGGCAGTGTTGAGCTGTGTTGTTTTCTGGATCATGTTGTGAGTGTCTTGAAGTGTTCAGAATAATTTCTTCAGCTCTTTTAATTAGTTTTTGACTTCTTACTCCTCGGATGTATTCCGTAATTTGCCCAATATCCCTGCGCAATAATTCAATTTTCCTCAGCAGTCTTTTTTCCCAGGGTGCAATTCTGTTTTCAGTCCTTCCGATATTAGTTCCCCGTCGTGTTCTGATCTTAATGCCCATAACATTAGCAATTGCTGTTGCTGCACAGTAAATCAGCATATGCAAATATTCTAATGTATGTGCTTCCACGATATAATTGGGTAGGACTTCAGTGTTCATAATTTGTAACAGCGCACCTAGTTTCTTACAAGAGTTTATTTTTGGTAGCGGTGGTCGGCTAAGTGGGTTTGTACCATTAAACTCTTGTATGGCCCGTTCCATTTCTCTTACCAGTCTATTGTGCAACTCGTTGTTGTCCTGCTGGGTATTAACAGGTTGAGTGTCTTGTATAAGGGGCTCAGGAATCTGCTCATTTGGGATTTCATTATGGTCTTGATCCACAACTAGCTCTTGGTTATGAATCTCCCGTTCGACTTCGCTTCTAATGGTAGCGCGTCTAGCCTCTGGGATAAGATTATTTCTTATAATTACCCGGTATTGATCTGCTATTCGCTGTTCAGATACTTCAATCTCTGGATACTCCCTGCAAAATTCGGCATACAGTTGTTGTCTATAGCCGATCGTTTCTCGACCGAGGTTCGTCACCTTGTAATAGAAGCGCAAAATGTTTTCATTTATAGACATAGTCCATTTCATGCGCTGCCTCGGTCGTCCCGCTTGTGTGAGCGCCGGCTGATGTTCCAGCGCAGCAGCTTCAGCGAGTGGAGCTCTTGTTGTTGTTTGGCTCACTTGTGGTTGTTGTTGTTGTTGGGCTGTAGCTGATTGTATGACAGGGGCCCGCCTCCTCAACACCCTGCCACCGACGTCCCGCATGCTGTCACGTCCAGCGCCGGCTCCAGACGTGCCCTGGCGATCCCCAGGCAGCGACCCTAAACATAAATAATTATTAGTCTCCATTTTCATGGGTGTGCATTTTATACCTACTGCCAGGTGTCAGTTTTTGTTCCACGACAGGTATTCCTGTTACCCTCTGGGTATCGGTTCTAAGAATACCCAGAGAGCATCCCCCATTAGCAGGGGGCCGCGCCTGATAGAAGAACTGATAAAAAACTCCCACAGGTTATTATTATTATCCAGATTTAGCCATACGGCTCACACTCCCTCTAAGGGGAAAATTCACTCATCCCAGATACCTACGGTATCAAAAGGATTGAGCTCTGGTGGGACTCTTTCCATGTTATCGAGTCCTAGGTGACTTGGTACGTCGGTGTATCTCCTATAAATTTTCGCACGCATCTAGACGTCGAAAGTAGCACAGCTTTCTGCATGACCTTATATAGATGTTCATTTAGACCCAGCTTTTTTATGTTTTCTAGGAGGTTCTTCGGAATGACTCCAGTGGTAGAAAGAATAATCGGTATCGTCTGGATACTTTCCATTCTCCATTGTCTTCTTATTTGTATTTCCAGATCTCTGTACTTGGCGATCTTTTCGTTGTACTTAACACGAAGGTTATTGTTGTTAGGTATCGCCACATCGATTAGAGTTGTTTGTCTTGTTAGTTTATTAACTAGCACGAGATCTGGTCTATTATGTGCTACAGTTTGGTCTGTGAGCACAGTACGATCCCAGTATAGCTTGTAGTTGTTATTCTCAAGCATACTCTCTGGAACGTATTGATAATATGGGAGATGGTTTGTTTGTAGAAGTCCCAGTTTAATAGCTATCTCTTGATGGAGGATCTTCCCTACTGAGTCATGCCGTTCCTTATATTCAGTTGCAGCAAATGCCTGGCAGCCTCCGGTAAGATGTTGGATCGTTTCTTGGGCTTGACATCCATATCGGCATTTGTCGTTTTGGACCTGAGGGTCTTTGACAATATATTTCAGGTAATTTTTGGTTGATAAAACCTGATCCTGAATGGCGAGTAATGAACCTTCTGTTTCAGGGAACATCTTTCCTGATGTCAGCCAATAGTTCGACGCTATATTGTCGACATAGTCTTGACTGACTTCATTCGGATGTCGCCCGTGCAGAGGTTTACCCATCCAGATGCGCATTTTTTCGTTCTTAGTAAGATGGTTTATGCGCATTTCTTGTTCCCTCAGGTTGATCGGTGTTGTGTCATCTACTGCGCAAATCGCGCGATGAAGAGTAGATGTCTCCGCCTGCACCTGAAAATAAGTTCTTAAATTATTAATCTGTTTATCTAATTGTTCGCTTATATCAATAAGTCCTCGTCCTCCTAAATACCGTGGTAATGTCGTTCTTTCTACTGCACTTCGAGGATGGTGTTTTTGTGCCTTTGTGAGGTGTGTTCGTACTTTTCTCTGAAGACTTTCTATATCCGTTTTAGTCCACTTAATAATGCCAAATGAGTAGCTAAGCGCGGAAAATGCGTAGGTGTTTAATGCCTTAAACAAATTTTTACTATTAAGATGTGAGCGAGTAGCTGTTTTACTCTTCGTATGAACTCTGATGTTAATTCGATTTTCATTTGTTTATGATCAATTTTCCGCGCTTGCTTTACTCCTAGATATTTATACATGTCATTTTCGCCCATAGCCTCGATGTTTTGGCCATTTTGCATGTCGAATCCCCCGGGCTGAACCTTTCCCTTGACTATATTTAGTACACGACATTTGTCTAACCAAAGTGCATACTAATATCATTTGAAAAAGTTTCTACAGTTTTTAGCATTTGATCTAAGTGAGTTCGAGTGGAAGCCATTAGTTTTAAATCATCCATATACAACAGATGATTAAGCTTCGCCACTACAGTGTTGTTGTTTTTAATGCTAAAACCTGAGTCAGTGGAGTTCAATAGTTGGGATAGTGGGTTCATCGCTAGACAGAACCACAAGGGACTTAGCGAGTCTCCTTGGAAGAGGCCGCGGTTAATTGCGATATTTTCCGTTTCGATATTGTTTTCACCAGGTATTTGGAGGTGAATTGTAGTCTTCCAATCTGTCATTATATGTCTTAAGAAGGTCACTATATTATCATCAACTTTATATATTCTTAATATATTTACCAGCCATTCATGCGGCACTGAGTCAAAGGCTTTCTTATAGTCAATAAAAGCAGTGAAGAGGTTCCTTTTTTTGGTGTATGCCTGGTTAGAAATGACTGAGTCGATAATAAGTTGTTCTTTGCAACCCATGGAACCCTTAGCGCATCCTTTCTGTTGAGGTTCTATGATATTGTTTAGAGCGCGGTGTTGGTAGATACGCTGGGCTACACAGGATGTGACCAATTTATACAGAGTTGGAAGACACGTAATTGGGCGGTATTTGGCTGGATCTTGGGTGTTATTTTGATCCTTCGGTATTAAATAAGTTGTTCCCTGAGTTAGGAATGATGGAATTTCCTGCGGATTAGAAATAACACGATTAATTATTATTATTATTATTATTATTATTATTTTCGACAATAAAAGTTTTAAATGATATTAATCAAACCTACAAACGAGTATTTTAATTTTTTGTGTTTGTATTTATTATTATTATTTTTTAGGTATCCATGTATAAGTCCCAAGGGCGAATATAACGAGGAAAAAGTATACAGTGGTACCGTAGCCTGTGCCAGATTTTTGTTCAACGACAGGAATGTCGTCACGGTCGGTGGAACCGATGCGTCGTTAATGCTATGGCAACTAGTGGAAGAATAGCAACAAGCGTATGTCTACCTGCCTTCTTTAAATAATAGAGGGATTGTGAGAGACACTTTGAACTACCAAATAGACTCGGATTCTACAACTGAATCTGAAATTTCCACGTTTGAAGTTTTTAATTTACGATATTAAACAGAACTAATGCGAAAGGGACAAATTAATAGTTTTCTATTACAAACTATTAAGTAAATCAATATTTTTCAATATTTTTAACTTATCCTTATATGCTTGAAGCTGCTTGTTAAGTAATTTGATTGTTGATATAATTTTTATTTTATAATGGGTCATTAATTTCTTACAACAAGAATTTACTAGGATCCATAAGGATTAAACAAGAGCGTATACATATATGTTATAAATCAATATTAACTTAGGTAATAACTTTTAAAAACACCTATATGTAGCATTCAAATTTGAATAAACATGTTTTAACATTAATTTTAAGTGACATTTAAAATTGATTTAGCATTATTTAAGTGTTATTCAATATACAGACCAATTATAATGCCAAATAGCTATAGCATAGCTTTGGGATCGACGGCAATATAATTGTATAATGTTCACCGAAAATGTCATTTTTAAGCAAGGCACGTCGGCCGAGACTGTCCGAGGAGGGGGAGCATAGCTTTGTCATCGTCTATGCATGAAGAGGATATATATATATATATATATATATATATATATATATATATATATATATATATATATATATATATCGACGGTGTCACGACAGAAAGGCATAAGCGCCATTGCCATTTTTTTCAGGAGACACAAAAAACGTTTAATATGGCTTAATATTTATTTTTTTGCATTTTTTGGCAATTTCCGCTGGATTCCTACATATTGCTTTCCTGATTCTCCAAAACGGATTGCAATGCAAGATTTATTATTTTGTGCCCCCGAGAAACCATTCTAAAAACCATTAAAAAAAAAGAAGTAAGCGCCATTCAAATATTAGTTTTTAAAATAATATTACTACCAAAAAGAACTTTAAAATTAAAAAAAGAAGAAGACTATACAACAGAGTAAATATATATTTTATTTAGGTTTAAAACTTATTTCAGTCGGTTAAGTAGTAACTTTTCTATGGCAAATTTAAGTCATAGTGTATTTTAAATGGTTAAATGGCGGTTAGATAAACGAAATTTTTTTTTTCTGAAAAGACGTAACCGACAATCGGTAAAATTGTAGATTCTTAAGGTATATTATGATTTCTCAAGATAAATAATCTAACTAAACGCTTTTAACGAAACATTAAATTTTAATAATATTTCAAATTGTTGTTTACATTATCGATATATCTATGTTTTCAGGCCCAAGTCGTAAGCACCATTTTCCACTACCGATTTTGTCGCTTACTGATTTCGGTGTCTCATCTTTTAAGAAACTCGTTTGGCGGTTAGAAAATTCAAAGCTTGTTTTAAGGTAAATGTACGTAATATCGACAGTGTCCTGAATATCGACAGTATCGTAGCTGCGATTTGATAAATTTAATAAACTAAGACTAAGACTAAAACTGTATATTTCAGTGGTCTATTTTATTTTAATATTTTTATTTGCTGTGGTGGTCAAACTGACATTTCCGGTGTCTTGTCAAAGTCCCATCATTTCAAGTTCAACCGTCGTGGATGTAAGTTACTGTTGTGATCGCTTAGAACACAGGTAAAATATAACTACTTATATTCAGAGAATTAAAAAAAAACATATGTTATACTTGTTTATTTATGTTTGTACATGTTTATATTTTAATCTTTATAATTGAAAATTGTCTTTAGTAATGTATTTATTGCCAAAAATGTTATTTTTTGTAGTGTCGGTATTAGGTACATCCATTTTTTACGTTGTACCGAGAATCGACATTACTGTCGGTATAGGGGACAAACTTTAAAATTATTCACCTTTCCCTTACATTGATATAAATGACATAAGACTATCCTTTTTTGTATACGATATTAGAGAATTGATTAAATATCACTCTGAGGTTGTATCGACACCAACTTTTAATGAGCCCTGACATGCTAACAACCTTTTAAAACTGGTGTCGGTCCTATGTTCAGAATAGTGTCGATAATAGGTACAATAATTTTTCTTCTTTTCAGATTAGAATTAAAGGCAACGATTATCAAAATGAATCCAAAAAGCAGGCTTCTTCATTCATAAGAGGTAATGGATAATGCTATACAAGCCGTAAGAAACGGAATGTCGCCATTTAAAGCACATAAAACTTTTAATGTTCTACGAACAACATTATTGGACAAGTTACATGGTAGATCACCTCAAGGAAGAAAAATTGGAGCTGAAACTATTTTAACAGGCGAAGAAGAAAATATATTAGTGAAATGGATGATGACCATAGCCGAACAAGGTTTTTCCGCAACCAAACTCCAGTTGATTGATAGAGTACAAATTTTAATCAAAAACCTGAAAAGAGAAAATCCTTTCAAAGATGGAAGACCAGGAAGACATTGGTTTGAGGGTTTTATGAGATGCCATCCTGAATTAACCAGAAGAATTTCTCAAAATTTAACAAATGCTCGTGCTAACGTCACAGAAGAAAAAAATAAGAAAATGGTTTATGGAGATCAACGGCTACCTTTTGAAAAATAATTTCTTACATGTCACGAATCAACCACAACGGGTCTTCAATTACGATGAATCAGCATTCTTTCTTAGCCCTAAAAATGACAAAGTTTTGATAAAAAAGGGTGAAAGAACCGTATATTCATTTATCAATAATGATGAGAAAGAATTCTTAACGACACTTCTCACCTGTAATGCAGCAGGCCAATTCGCCCCTCCAATGATTGTTTACAGTTATCAAAGAGTGCCAAGAAACATAGTTGAAAAAGTTCCTGCAGGTTGGGGTATAGGAAGATCTGACAATGGTTGGATGACAGGGGAAACTTTTTTTGAGTACATAGCAAATGTTTTTCACCCCTGGCTTATGAAAGAAGAAGTGCCATTACCAGTTATTTTATTTTTTGACGGCCATTCTTCACACCTCACATTAGCTGTAAGTGAATTCGCTTCCAAGAATGGAATCATTTTAATTTGCCTTTTAGCAAATTCGACGCATATCTTACAGCCTTTAGATGTTTCTGTATTTCGCCAGATGAAAGCTGAATGGAAAAAAGTAATTTATCAGTGGCGGATAGAACATCAGGGAGACAGATTAAGCCGAGAACATTTTGCTTCTTTGTTGGAAAAAACGATATCTCGAATGACAAATACTCCAGATGCAATAAAAAGTGCCTTTAGAACTTGTGGATTGGTTCTATTTAATCCAAATAATATTAATTATGCCAAATATTTCAAAACTGTCCAAACACCCGCAAAACGTCAATCTTCAGGTGATGAAGAAACCAAAGGATTTTAAAGATTTTTGGAACGCGAAATTGATAACAAATTGAACACATTCATGTCATCTGGAGAAACCTGGAGTGGTCTTAAAGAAGATACCAGCCTTTTTAACCTGTGGAAAACTTTGAAACGGCGCTATAGTGATCCTGAAACGAACCATTTAATTCAAGTTGTTACGGCTAATAATCAAAGCGAGATTGACATAACTGGATTAATTGATATGTCGACTCTTAATACAGATGGAGTAACTGAAGTGGGTGTTGTTCCTGAAAATTCTATTTTAGACAGTAGTAATGATAATCTCTCTGTGATAGTCGTTGCTAATCATGAAGCAATTCCTGACTTAGATATTACAGAAACAACGACTAAAATCGATAACTATCAAATGTCGACTCTTAATACAGATGGAGTAACTGAAGTGGATGTTGGTTCTGAAAATGTTATTTTAGACAGTAATGATAATCCTTCTGTGATAGTCGTTGCTAATCATGAATCAATTCCTGACAGCACAGTGGTTGAAGCAATCATCCATAGATATGAAAGTTTAACCACTTCTGAGAGCGAAAAAATCAATGATGAATATACAAGTCCATCCCCATCAAACGTAATTATAGAAAATTCAGATCAAAATGCACCGATTTGGAAATCAAAAGAAATCCAAGGATCTACATCACCAATGAAGGAAAACAAGTCAATGTCGGACCCAACAATACCTTTTCCTTTCAACAACTCTCTATTTTGGCCAGAAACTACAAAGAAACCGATTGTTGGAAGATTTGGAGAGAAAGTGCCGTCTGTTGCATCATCAATCGAATGGCAGGAATATTACAAACGCAAAGAAGAAAAGAAAAATATGGAGATACTTCAAAAAGAGCAATTAAAAACAGAACGTAAACGTAAACAACTAGAAAAAGAACAAGCAATTGCACAAAAGAGAGAAAGAAACATTGTAAAAAGCCAGTAGATAAAAAGAAGGACAATTCAGACAATGATCGAGATACTTTGCAGACAACCGAACAGGGTTCTTCACAAGAAGAACAGTATATTATTGACGATTGCGTTATTATCAATTACAATGACCAACTTTTACCTGGTAAGGTAATAGGTAAGGAAACCGAAGAAGGTGTAAAATATGAGGTTAATCATATGGAAAGGAGAGGATTAAATTGGATCTGGCCCGAAAGAAAAGATATCTTATGGTATGAACAATCGGAAGTCATAAAAAGAATTAAGGCACCTGAAACAAAAAACAAAAGGGGATTATATTCTATCAAGGATTTATCTGAATTTTTAAATTAATACTTTTAGGTATCTCATAAGTACTATTAGAATGTTTGTTTAGTTATATGTACACTTATTTAATATATTTTTGCTTACTTAAGTACTTAATAGCTGTTTTATTATTGCTTACCTACCTGTCGACAATGTTCGGAAAGATTTCCGCGGTTAGTACAATAAAAACCCGGAAGACTGGTGAGTTTGATATTAATTTTAGTAATAATATAAATCTTAGCTCTAGGTTTTATATATATATATATATATATATATATATATATATATATATATATATATATATATATAATATATATACAGAGTGGCCCAAAAGTCTGGAAACGGCTAATTATCTCGTAAATTAC